CCCAGGTATTCCACTGCTGGGAATATACCCAGAGGAATGGAAATCATCATGCCGAAGGGATGCCTGTACTCCCATGCTTATTGTGGCACTATTTACAACAGCCAAGAGTTGGAACCAGCCCAAATGTCCATCATCAGATGAGAGGATAAGGAAATTGTGCTACATCAACACAATGGAATACTACTAGTCTGCTATAAAAAAGAATGAAATACTACCATTCGCAACAACATGGATGGACTTAGAGAAAATTATATTAAGTGAAACAAGTCAGGCACAGAAAGAGAAATACCACATGTTCTCACTTATTTGTGGGAACTAAAAATAAATAAATAAATAAATAAATACACAAACAAATAAATGATGGGGGGGAAGAAGACACAACAATTCCTTGAACCTGTTAAGACAAGTGAGCAGATATGATGTAGTTGAGGGGGAGTGGGGGAAGAGGAACGGGTAAAGGAACACAAAAATCAACTACAATGTATATTGAGAAGTATAGATTTCAAAGCTCAGCAAGAATGTGCTACTTTAGAAAACTAAAATTTATTAAAATAAGGAAATAATAATTAATTAATTAATTAAAAATAATTTTTAAAATTTTTTTTAAATTAAATAAATAAAATAAAATAAAAAGTTCATGGAAAGAAAAAAAAAAGCATACGGCAGAAAATTCAAAAGATACAAATGTAAATACAGTGAGAACTAAGTCTTCTTTTCTTTGCTGCCCACTCAGCTATGCAATTCCCCTCCCTCAAAGTACATATGAACTTTTAGGACAAAAGATATCATTCTTCTCTGCATCTTGCTTCTTTCACCTGACCATTTATCTTGGCCAAATTAATTTTAAGTAGGAAGTAGGAATCTTCTTAATAACTCATATCTAATTGCTTCTCATTTTTTTTCTTCAGAAGTTCAACCTAAGAAATATTTTCAGTATGAGGTACCTTACAGAAAAACAAAGGTACTGTAAGAACTTATTCTAAAGTGTCTTATCCCTACCATATTGAATAAATACGCAGTAAAATATTTTTTCTTTTTTTAACTGGGAAAGAAAGCAAGCTACTTTGAATTAGTGAAATCTTGATTACAAAATGCCCTTTAAGGAAAAGATGCTTTACCCTTCTTAAGTATATGAAGTCATATCAGAAAAAGAAGTGAACCACAATACATATCTCACTTATTCTAATTAACTAATTTCAAATTATTTATAATTAACATTTTTTTATATTAATGGATTTTTCTAAAAGGCTTAAGAATACTTAAAAACAGCTCTTCTACATATGTTAAACAAAGTCTCTTCAATCATACTAGAAATTTTTACTCTTAAAAAAAAGTAGTGTCAGCCAAACCTTTGTTCAAATAAGCAGAAATTTTGAATTAATAGAAATGAAATTAAAAGAGTCAATATTCAGGATATGTTTATGGTATTGATTGTGGTGATGATTTCATGAGTGTATATTTATCTCCAAACTCATCAAATTGTATACATTAAATATGCACAGCTTTCTGCATGTCAATCATACTTCAATAATATGTTTAAAAGAAAAAAGAATCAATATTCAATATATGATGATATACTGACAAGGAAAAGAAACTTGACAGGATGTCTTTTTCCCATTTACAGTTTTTCTTCATATGAACTAAAAAAAAGACAAGTCCTGAGAAAAGTTAAGCTAGTTAATGACTTATGGGTACATGAATTTTTAACCCATCCTGTTCTTTCTATTTCCGAGTCCCCTGTCCTACTTTCTTTGCCTCTTGTCTAAACTATTGTAATAAATTTCTTATTGGTCTCTTTCTCTCTCTTCCACTGAGGTTTCATGAAAATATGGGTCTTCATACTCTGGGGAAAAAAAGGCTTAAAAAGTGCTACATTAAATAATGTTTAAAAAATAATTTTTTGTACATCAAATTCTTCAAAAAGGAAAAAAACTTTTTTTATTATTCCATGTGCAATCTAAATCCCCAAGATATTACACTATATAACCCCATTTAATAATACGCTGGTATTCTAAGCAGTATGAAAATGGCCTAAAAGATAAACTACTATACAGTCAAGGTCCTACCTTCCCTTTCCAACTTTACCTCCCATTGTGCTTCCAAGACCCTGAAATATAAACTGCCCTTTTATACCTCTGAGCCTCTGCTTGTGATGTCTCTCTATCTGCAATATCCTTCCTCTCATCTCTACTTCCTGAAATCATGCCAAGCCCTAAAGGCCTAAGTTCAAAAGGAAGTCATTTCAAATTCTCCCAAGTTAGATTTGTTTTCTACTTCCCCCAAGTATGCTATAACTTGATTAAAGCATTTATTTATCTGCTCTAAGTTATATTTGTAAATATATCTTTCTCCCTCACTAAATTATAGCTTGGAAGATAAGAACTGTGTAGCACACAGTTGACATTCAAAACACATTTGAATTGAAATAGTGATTTTAATTTTTCCAAAGAATCTAAAAATAGATCTCATTTTATTACACAAATACACACAAACCTGCAAAACTGATACAACAAATATTATCATCCCTCTACACACACATATATGCTATTTGACATATTAAACATCATAATTATTATTATATTAAAAAGTTAGCATTCCTTGAACATTAACTATGTGTCAGGCACTGAGCTAAGTACTTCATACAATCTATTTAATTTTCAAAACAACCCTATAAGATAAGTTCCAATATTACTACTGATTTACAGAGGAGGAAACTATAGTTCCAAGAGGTGAAGTTACTTCCCCAAAGTCTGACAGTAAGTTCAGGCTAATAAGTGGCAGAGCTTAGAATCAAATTGTCTGTCTGACTCCAAAGTTCATATTATTAACTGCTACACTTTTCTGTCTTTCAGTATTTGCCCAAGTACTTACCACTAATAAACCATGATGCTAATGACAGTTTATTTAACCTAGTAATAAAAAGTATTATCTAGCTTCAAGGTTTCCAAAATTCACTAAAATAAAATCTGACATCTATACTACTAAACCACAACTGCAATATGAAAATGAAAGAATTACTTACTTGCACAATTTGCCTCCTGCCATGTGGTATTAAAAAACTCAGAAAGAATCACAACTACTTGCATTCTATCTGCCATTAAGAGACTTCTGGCACAACTCTGACTCTCTGAAGTATTCTGTAACAAAAAAGACGACAGAAAAATAAAATCTGAGTATTTTTACACTTTCCAACTCTCAAGGCAAAAACTTAATAAAAAGTCATTAAAATATTTATTATAACCTTTTAACATTTTGTTTGATATGATCAGATAACAATGGTGTTAATAATAACAATGGTAATAAAACAATTAGCAGCTAACATTTATTGGTACTGGGTTCACTTGCAAGGGAATAAAATCTTTGCTTCTTAAATAAGTATTTGCCTCTACAGTACAATTTCAACTGCTTAGGTCCAAATTGCTACTGTGTGTTAGTAATATATATTTCTTACTTTTTATGCCAAAGAAAAAATTCTGGAAAGCAATTCACCAAAATATAGAAGTGGTTATCTCTGGATAATGGAAATATGGTGGTTTTTACTTTCACTTTTGATCCTCCTAATTCTGCCTAAATTTTTCTACAATGGACATATATTATTTACCCTTTTTTATCTGTGGGTAAATGATCACAAATCATTTGGTTTCATCTTTGGGGCAATTTTTGGTTCAGTCTTATAAATCCACAAGAAAATCCAGTGACATATCCAGTTTGTACCCAAATAGTTTGTACTCAGAAAAATATGCTTTCCATAGATCATTTTTTTATTATACATATTTATGGGGTACAGAGTTGACTATCAGTATTTGTGTACAGTATGAGATGATCAAATCAATATTATTAGTATGTTCATCATAATTACAAATCATAATTACTCTTTGCACATAAGATCATTTCAAAAATGAAAGAAACTCATGCCATGCAAACAATAAATCCAAGTTCCTAAATACTTGATCCTTATTTTTTCCTTTCCCTTGAGCCCCAAGCAAGGAGCAAAATTGTGCTGATCCTTCATTCTTTCAAAGCTATTTAATTCCTACTATTTATCAGGCACTGTAAGAATCCTCGAGTTTTGAGTATATAAAAAGTATAAGAGAATGTTTCCAACACTGGGGCTTCAAGAACCTTCCCACAGACACACAGATAAGGAGTTATATAGCGTGATGAGTAATAAAAGAGAGAGAGTGGTAACGCCAGGGAAAGAACTGATCAGCCATGTGGAATAAAAATGAAGGAAGGCAGGCTTAAAGAAAGAATTCTTACTTTAAAATATCGCTGATATTCATTTTGGGAAGGTTACCTACTTTGTGGCTTAGTTTTGTCATCTCATTAAATAGTGAATTGAACAAAACATTTTTAAAGACCCTTTCTTAGAATTGCTTCCAGAGTAATACCAGTTGTAGAAGAAAATTTCTATTATTACTTCTTAAACAGAGCTTGGCTACGGAATCAGACAAGCCTAGATCACTAGCTGGTGATCTTGGGCCGCCAATCTAACTTCTATGAGGTTCGGTTTCACAATAGTGGGTCCTAGAGTTACTGTATTAAGTGAAATAACATACTTTAGGGGCCAGCCTGGTGGCGCACTGGAGAGTGCGCCGCTTGGGAGCGCGGCGGCGCTCCCACTGAGGGTTCGGATCCCATGTGGAGACCGGTTCCCGCTCACTGGCTGAGCGCGGTGCAGGCGCAACCCCGAGGGTTGCGATCCCGTTACCGGTCAGTAAAAAAGACAAAAAAGGAAAAAAAAAGAAAAGAAATAACATACTTTAGGGGCCAGCCTGGTGGCGCACTGGAGAGTGCGCCGCTTGGGAGCGCGGCGGCGCTCCCACTGAGGGTTCGGATCCCATGTGGAGACCGGTTCCCGCTCACTGGCTGAGCGCGGTGCAGGCGCAACCCCGAGGGTTGCGATCCCGTTACCGGTCAGTAAAAAAGACAAAAAAGGAAAAAAAAAGAAAAGAAATAACATACTTTAGGGGCCAGCCTGGTGGCGCACTGGAGAGTGCGCCGCTTGGGAGCGCGGCGGCGCTCCCACTGAGGGTTCGGATCCCATGTGGAGACCGGTTCCCGCTCACTGGCTGAGCGCGGTGCAGGCGCAACCCCGAGGGTTGCGATCCCGTTACCGGTCAGTAAAAAAGACAAAAAAGGAAAAAAAAAGAAAAGAAATAACATACTTTAATCACTTAGCACAATGTCTTGCACATAGTTAGCAACAATATATACAATTTTGCCTAGCTACTTTGCTGCCAACCCGAAAAGGGTATAGTTGGCTAAGTGTAATCAGTTATTTGATCTTCATAAACAGACGACTAGCTATTTTAAAAATCAATACAGTATGAGTGCCCAATATCTGGAACAGTTCAGTTGAGGAAGACATCAATGTACTTGGGAGAAATGAGGAAAAAGATCATGGAAGAAGGACGATTTGAACTATGTCCTATATTGAGAAAGGAAGAGGATTCTAAAATAGAATAAAATGATCATGGGATGAAAGTGGGAATGATTTGTGGTATTCAGGGAGTATTCAATAGGCCAACATAGCTAGCTAGAGTGGAGGGTACTTCTATGAAAGCAGGGTCATTAGAAGGATAAGTTAGGACAAGGTTGTGAAAGACCTTAAGAGTCATGAGGCTCAGACCATGAGAAACTGTGAGGAGTGTGACATGAAAAGTAGAGTGTGGGGAATATAAGTCTAGCTCATGATATTTAGAGTTAGGAGACTATTTCCATAGTTCAGGTATGATGAAAAGATGGTGGCAACAGTGGGGATGGAATGGAAGTGATGAATAATTTGAATAGAGATGATATATTTACTGAGTACTTAGAAGTTCTAAACGTTCCAAGTGCATTAACTCATTTAATCCTCACAACAACTCTATGAAATAGGTAGTGTTATCCTCCTGGATTCAAACCTGGCCTCTTCCACAGCATTGCTTTGGATAAGTTACTTAACCAGTCTGACATCCAATTTCTTTCTTTTTTTTTTTCCTTTTTGTCTTTTTTCGTGTCCGGCAATGGATCACAACCCTCAGTGTCGCGCCCGTACCGGACCGGGACCGGCAACGGGATCGCAACCCTCGGTGTTGCACCCGCACCTCGCTCAGCCAGTGAGCGGGAACCGGTCTGTATGTGGGATCCGAACCCACGGCGGGAGCGCCACCGCGCTCCCAAGCAGCGCACTGTAGCAGTGCGCCACCAGGCCAGCCCGACATCCAATTTCTTAAAGCATCATATCCACCTATGTATGGCTAGGTTTCTCATCTGATCAGAAATTCACTCAGGCCAGAAACTTTGTCATATCTTTGTATTCCCAACACCTAACACAGTGACAAAAAACCATTGGTCCTTGATTTATACTTAGAACTATAATACTCAAATCAGTCATAACCACTTAGCAAAACCCATGAACCCAACCATCCACTTTCATCATGCCTGTCCCTAGCAAGTTAAGAGCAGTTGGCAAAAAAAAACAAGCAGATTGTTTCCACAATAAATCCATAATTGCAAACTACACTCCTCATTTTCCTATCTGCTCATTCTCTCCTTTTTACAAATGCTATTTCAAATCTTCACTCCCTGAAACACTGATATTCCTCCCACTCTTTACTCTCAAGAGATCTAGGCTCCTAGTTGGCAGTGAAAACAAAAACCATCAAGCTGAAACACCAACCTGCTACTCTGACACCCAAACTTTCCTTCCACCCTCCTGTTACAGCTGAGAAAGTGCCTGCCCCTTCCAAAGTCCCAGCTGTCTGTGGATGCTCTAGATCCCACCTACTCTGGAAACTGACCTTGTCTATTACCCCACTCCCTTCTACAGGATCATTCACCTTCTCTACAAGATCTTCACCCTCTCTACAGGATCCTTCCCATCAAATTTAAACATGTTCAGCTCTCTTCCATCTTAGGAAAAGAAGAAGGGAAGGAGGAACAGAGGGATGGAGGGACAAAAGAAGAGAAAAAAGTGAAAGAAAATCCTTAAGTCCCACATTCTTTAGTGACCTCTCTTTATCTCCCCTTCAAGGACAAGCTCTTCAACAGTTGTCTAGTTCACTCTTCTCACTTCCTCACCTTCCATTCATGGCTTAACCCACTCTAATCTTACTTTCACCCCCAAGCACTCCGTTAAAACTACTCTTGTTAGTGTCACCAATAATGCCACTGTTGATAGATGCACTTCCAAACCTCTCAGCAGGATCTGATACACATAACCACTGTTCCCTTTTCCTTGACTTATAGGACACAGCACTCACCTGATTTTTCTTCATCTCTCTCTCTCTGCCTTCTCAGTCTCCTTTGATTGTTCATCTTCTATCCAATCTTCAACTCTTAGCATTCTTACCCATTTTTCAGGAATGCTAATCCATGCCATGATTTCAAATACCATTTTTATACTGGCCACTTCCAAAGGTATTAGTTCTGATCCAGACCTCCAGACATATAGCATTCTTACCCATTTTTCAGGAATGCTAATCCATGCCATGATTTCAAATACCATTTTTATGCTGGCCACTCCCAAAGGTATTAGTTCTGATCCAGACCTCCAGACATATCTAACCACAAATGCAATATCTCCACTTAGATGGCTCATAAATACCTCAAAATCAACAAGTTCAAAATCAAGTTAATGATCTTCCCCCACCAAATAGGCTCCTCCTTCCATCTCAGTAAATAGCAACTGTTCACTAAACTGCTCTTATTAAAAGCCTGGAAATCACTTCCTCTCCCTCACTCGCTATATTCAATTAAACACCAAGCCTTGTCATTTCTATATCCTAAATGTCTCTGAAATCTACCCATTTCTCCTTTCTGCAGTGGCCCCCATGTGGCCTAGCCACAACCATATCTCGCACCATTGCAACAGTCTCCTAAATTCATCTCCCCACATACCCTCTTCCCCTACCCTCTCCAGCCCCGATCCCCTCCATTTTCTGTCATGCAGCCACAATAGCCTTTTAAAGTACAAATCTGATCATGTCATTCTGCAGAATTAAATCTTTCAATAACATCACACTGCTTTAAAATCAAAGTCTAAAATCCTTAACATACTCTACAGGCCCACATGCCTTACACCTGCCCACTTCCACAGGCTTAGATAACTAGTCTCCTCCTTGTTCACTGTGCTGAGTTGTCTGGTTCTCAAACATACCAAAACCCTTCCCATCTCAGAGTCTTTGTACTTGCTATTTCTTTACTTGTATACCTTTTCTCCTCTGCCTCACACCCTCTCGAATTTTAGGGGTCAGCTTTAATCACTGACCACTCTATCTACTCCCAGCCATTGTCAAAATCAGCGCCCTTATTATGTGTTTTGGTAGCTTCTGGATTTTTTCTTTGCAACACTTATCACACCTGAATTAAATATTTACTTGTATAATGATATGTTTAATGTCTGTTTCAGACTATTAGCTCTTCTCATTCACAGCTATATCCCTAGTAACTACCATAGCCTGAACATATGGTATTCAGTAATTTTTTTGAATGAATGCATAAGAAGCATTACATTTTTTGATCTCTAATGAAAGACAGATTATTATGCCATGCTATGTTCCAATTTTCTCCCTATATTTCTAAGAATTTATGTATTAATCTATACTAAAAGTGTCAGGTCTGCTGCCGGCCAACCTGAACAGCCCTTGCCTTGCTATCAGTCTCTCCCTTGGTGTTCCTTCTGGTGGGCGAGCGAATTGCCCGGATTCCTCTTTCCCTCCGTTCCCTGCTGGAAGGAGATGGGGGAAGAGAACTGCAAAGAGAGGTAAGCACAGCCGCCAGCACCAACCAGCCCGTTAAAGGACACTCAGACGCGGCGGGGGTTCTGTCGAGCAGTTCCGTTTATTATCACACAGGCACTTGCTTTTAAAGGCAAATGGGGAAGGGAGGTTTTCACATCCTCCAATCGCTTAAAGGTTACAAGAGCATGCATCCTGTCTCACTGCCTAGCTATTGCAATCACCCAGTGTTCACGAGCACGGCAATCAGCTTAAAGGTTACAAGAGCATGCATCCTGTCTCAATGCCTAGCTATTGCAATCACCCAGTGTTCACGAGCACGGAAGCGTGTATTTGGCCAATAAGGACTAAGGCAAGGTTCCCGCAGACATTCCCACCCTACTTCCTCCTGGCACCGTCTTAGGCTGCCACGTTAATATGCCCTTGTGGGCCCATAATGGTGCCACTTGTAATGTCACTTAAGGTGGCGTTAGTTTTTAAGGCCCGACATAAAAGTATGTTGAATAGTCACCAGATACATAACCCAAATGACTAGCACCTTCACAAGGCCCATAATGGCGCCACTTGTAATGTCACTTAAGGTGGCATTAGTTTTTAAGGCCCGACATAAAAGTATGTTGAATAGTCACCAGATACATAACCCAAATGACTAGCACCTTCACAAATATATATATATATATATATGTATCTATCTACACATAGATACATCTATCTATTTAAATTTTAAAG